TCGAGACTAAGGGCCCAGGTTAGCTGGTAGAAGATACACACGTATAACGCTCCCAATTGTATCCAGAACCAATTCTGGGCTGTTAGCCGCCCGGCCGCTAGATATTTGGCCGCCTTCGCCCAATTACGCGAATCGCGAGTAGATTTATAACTTAACCCAACTGATAAGAATTTACTGGTATGTTTTTACGATAGTTCTGTATAGTTGACAGGAGTTTAAAAAATCCATTGAAATATGTCATATTTTATTCCGCTCTCCCGTGTTATGTTACTTACGGATTTCAATATTGAACCAGTGATATTTCGATTTCGTATGTCCCATGTTTAGGGATATGTAGAAAAAAACGTGCACAATTCTTGTATAATGTTAAAAAATTAACTGTTACATTGGCAGCATCGTTTACAACTAAATTTAATGAATGAGAGATGCACGAGGTACAGAAAAAGCTCTAGAATTTCTTTTCCTTAAATTTAGTATTTACGTATTTGTTTGTCATAAAAATTTGTGTTTGTGTTTTTTTCTCGAGACTACAAATATTCCCGTACAAAGTAACCGGTTTTTTAACTTATTTTTACTTAAGAAGTAGTTAAATATTTAAGAAATTATAGAATTAGGGACAAAATAAAACCCTGATGAAAAAGCTGAAATATTACTTAAACAAAAGCTTAACCGAACCAATTTTTAACCGAGTACAGTGCGGATTGATCTTTTCGTATTATTAAACGTAATATAGACAAATTTTTCTAGTTCAATGAGAGTGACCGAAAAGTTGTAAATTTTGGAAATTTCTGTGGACACTTGGTCTTAAAATAGAAAACAAATGACTATTAAGAATTTAACAAATTTAGATTTTTACACCTATAGTGAGAAACGTTTAAAATTTACAACGACCCTGTCGTATCCTTTTAGGTATATTAGTGATGCCACAAAAGAGTCATTTGACATTAATCGGTATGTCACCCTCGGGTTTTGGCAGCCTGCGTACATGCTCGCGCCGCACATCTAGCAGGACCGTCTTTGATTTATTTGGTAGGGAGCTATTTGACTAAGTGGATGGTTTAAGATATAAAAAGTATAGAATATTTTATGTTATTTTTATGTACGTCTCTTTACAAAGCTATATTTAATTATAATTTTTTTAAAGTACTGTATATTCATACAATTGAAGAATATTTTGTACCAGGTATGCACTGGTACATCCACCACACATTTTATTTCACCAAGTAAGTTTTTATAATTTTATTTTTAATTTTAACCCTTATATCGTGGTTAGCGATTCAGAATGTAATTGCGATATTGAAAATTTGTTTTAAAAAAAGTTTTGGCTCAAAATCATATAATGAAGAAGAAAATATATTATTAAAAGAGAAAGGCGAATGTCTAACAAGGAGAGCCTACGGCTTTGGGGTAACGGATTTTGATGATCTTTGGTGTAGAAGTAGTACACCATGTGAGTGTACTACCTGTAAAATACTAAAGTGCAGTACTCAAATATAATCAAGAAAATCGAACTTAAAGTTTTTAGCACTTTATATATAAATTATACGTACTTCTATTTGAGTGTCCTGTGGCAGAGTAATAACGAGTCTGATTCATAAGCTTGAGTTCTCCGGTTCGATTCTCGCGTATAATTTTTTTTAATTCATAAATACTTATAATGTATTTATTTATTTACTCATTCATTTATTTCTTATTATTTATTTATTTTAATTTAATTTCTACTATTCCAAGTCTAATATTTTTATACTTTTGTTGACAATAACGGCGCATTCTTGACACCTATGTGTCAACTTTCCCATCTAATTGTTATCACTAACGGTGACCGATCTAATTCTCACTAGGAGCGTTTTTTCTATCGGAGTTCTTTTTCACTCACTCTTTAACAGTTCGTTTCTAAATTTCGACACGAATAGACGTATTTGTGTAGTAAAACTTATTTTGAAAAATTATTTTATAATCGAAAAATGTCGTCAAGAGAAGCAAGTTCTTCACGTTGTGACGAAAAAACTGTTGATGATACCTTTTAAAAAAGCAGCATTTATTTGTTGTTCTTGGTGTAGACAGAATTTTTGTTTTGAATGTTTTTATCATAAGTATCATTCACGATCATGTACATCTGACAATGATATGTAATTATATAATATTGCTTCAATAAATTATATTCGTTTTTCTTGGTTATATTTGAGTTTTGCACTTTACAAGTTAGTATTTTACATCACTGTATAAAGAGTTATCATCAACAGTTTTTTCGTCACAACGTGAAGAACTTGCTTCTCTTGACGACATTTTTTGATTATAAAATAATTTTTCAAAATAAGTTTTACTACACAAATACGTCTATTCGTGTCGAAATTTAGAAACGAACTGTAAAAGAGTGAGTGAAAAAGAACTCCGATAGAAAAAACGCTCCTAGTGAGAATTAGATCGGTCACCGTTAGTGATAACAATTAGTTGGGAAAGTTGACACATAGGTGTCAAGAATGCGCAGTTATTGTCAACAAAAGTATAAAAATATTAGACTTGGAATAGTAGAAATTAAATTAAAATAAATAAATAATAAGAAATGAACGAGTAAATAATTAAATACATTATAAGTACTGTATTTATGAATTAAAAAAAATTATACGAGAGAATCGAACCCGAGAACTGAAGCTTATGAATCGGACTCGTTACCACTCTGCCACAGGACGCTCAAATAAAAGTACGTATAATTTATATATAAAGTGCTAAAAAACTTTAAGTTCGATTTTCTTGATTATATTTGAGTATTGCACTTTAGTATTTTACAGGGAGTACACTCACATGGTGTACTACCTCTAAACCAAAGATCATCAAAATCCGTTACCCCAAAGCTGTAGGCTCTCCTTGTAAGTTAAATATAAACACTCCAAAAAAAAATATTTGTTAAATTTGCCTACTATTTTAAAGTGATATTGTGAGGAATAAGAATGGCTTTGACAATTTAGCTGGCAAAAGACATGAAAAATCGTCGATTCTTTCGTATTTGAAGCAATTTGGAAATGAAAGCGGAATAAAATTTAACATTAGTAAATAATATAAAATAAATATTGTAAATTAACGAAATAGTTACGGCTAATAGATATACAGTAGACCCCGTATAACACGGGTTCATATAATGCGGATCCTTATATCGCGGCGAAAAAATTGCGACCGTATTCGTATACAGACGCTAAAAAAGACACGTATAAGCGGTAAAACGTCATCGTTGACTGGTGTCGCGACAATATTGGACGAATAGCAAATATTGCAAAAACCGTTGAATTTAAACGAGCAGCGAATCTACTAAAAACCGTTCATTATTTAACAGCCACAAAAATTATACTTATATCAATAATGTCTCGAAAGTTCAACAAATTTTACGCAACAAAATAATTTATCAGGAAGCATGTGCCTGCCGTTCGATGCGTAGTTTTGCGAAGAAAACAAGCTTAAGCAATGGCATCGTCGAACGGTGCACACTCGGCAAGTAATCCTACAATTTTTTGTTTATAGCATAGTTTATATGGATTATTCCCAAGAAATTATACGCGTTTTGAAAATATTGAGTGAAATTAGTCTAGAATCGATTAATTTTATGAAAGAAACCCTTCCAAACAGCCGTAGTCCGTAAACGGCACACGTGCCGGGCTGTGATTGGCTCATGTATTTAAGGATTCCTACAACGTAAACTTCTTATAAAGTGAAACGTATCTACTGCGTTATAGGGGGTCGACTGTATTATATCTAAATTAATAGATGTTACATGTTTCTGTCAAAGCAAGAATTGGCATTTAGAGGGCATACGGAATCTATTGAATCAGAATAACAGAGTAATTATATTAAAATTGTTTATTTATTAAGTACGACAGATAAATCATCTATTAAAAATACATTTAAATAATTAACTGATTGCCCTGGAAGTCGGCTTCTTACAGAAACACAGTTTTCCTATCATCAAATGTCACGGCACGCCACTGATGAAATGTAATCAACTAGTAAATTTTCATCAAATAATTTATCTGTGAAACAAAAAGGAAGTCTTAAAGAGTGTCCATGAAAAGAAGTCAATCATTTATAATTGTCCAATGAATAATGTGACGTTTTCATATGAAGTGAACAAAAATTACTTTAGACATGTTATGCGGTAAACACCACGGGTAGAAATAAATGCAATCCTAAAACCACGACAGAGTACATGCGCGAAAGTCGTTAATGTGTTCATTTTCAATTCGATCGAAAAAATATGATCAGTTGATTGATAACACAGAGCAGTTGACTAAACAAATCGAAATATGCAGCACCATGTACTGTTTCGAATTCTACAGAAGTTTTGGCAAAATTCGATTCACACATAACTTATTAAATGTTGCAAAAATACAAACATTTCCATAATTTGGCTTTATACCGATTTTACTTATTGCCAATAACGACATTTAACTTGTCTCTTAATTACATATCAACTAGGATATAAAATCACTACTAATTTCTACTAATACAAAACTACTAATTTCTACCAATCTATGAATCTAATTTCTTAACAATTAGATTAAATTTCGGAAAGTTCAAACTTACCCAAAATGTTTTAATACAAGACGCGAAATGAGTTAATCTCAACATAGTTTATGTGTATATGCTGTATTACATCTTGTGTATATTCGACGATGATCATTGAAGTAACGTATTTTAAAATTTTTCTTCGTTTGTTTGTTTTATTAAATTATGGCAACGCAACACTTGAGTAATCTGCCTAGGGGAATGCGTTACGGAAAAACTTTAAGTTCTAATAGTAAATGGTCCCTATTTAGGCCTAACAGACATACAGTAAACCTGATAACTCTATATGGCCAGCCTGTCCGATCGCGTCGCGAACCCACGACCGACAGCCCAGTGTTTAGGGACAGAAACCGCTTGGCAAATTTTCGTAATTGTAACTCATATTATCCGATATAGAAACGAATTGTAAAATATATTTATTACAGAGTATGCATATATTTTTTCAGGATCCTATGTTATTTACCGGGCCACTTCGAAGAAACATGGATCCTTTTAATGAATATTCTGAAGAAATGCTGTGGAAAGCCATAGAGGAGGTTACAATTAAATTAATATTTTTCAATTTACTCACAGATTTTTTTTTAAACTTTTTTTATTAAATTCAATTTACACATATTTATTTTTATAAATATTTGAATTAAAGGTACAATTAAAAGAAGTTATTAGTAAATTACCTGGAGGATTGGATTCGCATTTAACAGAAGGAGGGCGAAATTTCAGCGTGGGAGAAAGACAGTTAATTTGTCTTGCCAGAACCATTCTTCGCCAGAATAAAATTCTTGTCATGGACGAAGCAACGTCCAATATTGATAAAAGGTTAGAATACTGAAAATATTACATAATTTCAAATATATATCATTTTATTTTGAAATTTGTGTTACATAGAGAATCGTTACCGGTATAAGTTTGGTATAAGTAAGATTGTGTGATAATCACGATGGTTAGAGTACATTGCCATTAAGCCACTAATAAAATGATTACACTCAATTGCTTTGGGATCTGGAACTAAATTCTAATGAATTTTCTCAAATATATTAAGCGCGATATGTTAAAATTTTATTTTACCTCATTTCTTATCTTTCGTTTTTTCTTATTTTGTATTTGTTGTAATGAGGATGGGTAAGAAGTAAAAGCTTTTCGTGTCTACAAGTCAAACTGTACGTATTCAAAATATGTGTACATGTTATACCATGCATACGAATACATATATTTGTAAAACTGTATTCATATTGTGCTATGTATATATAAAAAATAGTAATAGAAAAGTTATGCATTGTCAACATGGCAAATTATATGGGGAATGTAAACACTTTCGCTTCCTCTACTTAATAAATTTATTTGCTATGTAATTTTACTTGTGAGATCCGGAATTTTTACCGAATTTTCCGATTAATATTCAGCATCTTTCTAAACCCCCAATTTAATTTTCATTTAAAACCTAAACGACAATCTAACGAAAATAAGGGAAAATTTCCGATCTCCCGTTTCGTTTAAAGTAAACATCCGTTCATTTCGATACTAATCCCACATTCCAACACCAAAGTTGATAGTTAGCATGGTCCCGGGAACAACTTTGACCCATCCGCGTACCTTTTACCTCACAACAATTGGTCACATGACCATTCTCCCACGCCGAACTTATAAAAACCCCTCCCTTCCCCTTCTCGGGGGAGTCGTTCATCCGCCGTCACTTTTAAGACTGTGTCCATCGAATATTGTGTCCTATTAATAGACTGTGTCCTATCAATATTGTGTCCTGAACAAAAATTATCATCTTTATCCCACCAACCCGTTGGATATCAAAACCTTTTTCCTTAAGAATATTTAAAGACAAAGAGGTATGGAACATATTTTTTTGAACTCTCTCTCGGTCCTTCGCGTTTCAGGGACTCAGATTTTCCCTTTGAAATTAGTTATTGTATCTATGTAGCTAATAAATCGTTGTTATCCTGTTAAATTGGTATCCTCGTTTGCTCGTATATCGCCGGTCATCTTACCGACGCACTCCTCCCTCCGCCACTCGACCCGAACAATTAAAGCCCGTTACAGCGGAAAAAGAATCCTTCCATCTATCCTGACAGTGAGAAGGTTCATCAACCTGTTGCCAAATCGGGAGACCTACACCCTCCCCGGCGGTTCACATACTTAAAATTTGATGTGATGCATTGCAAATATTTTAAAATAATTTTTCTACAAAAAGTGAGTTGAGTAGTCAAGTATGGAAAATATCATAAAGATGTAAGAAGAAAATTATTCGCATAACCAACAAAAATAAGCATGTCTCAATATGATTAAATTAACTTTTATGTAATTTCTGTGTCAAAACTTCCAGATTACAGTGATGGGTAAATTCGCCTTGTTTTCATAAACACCTGCATAATCAAAACCACTTTGGCAATGTCGTGAAAGTTTCCACTGAGCTGTGATAATAGAAAAAACATTAAATGTTTTTTTTCATTTATCAAATCTCTTATGAAAAGTAGCTGTTGGGCTGTCAGTATGCGTTTCGAGAGATCTATGCGACTACTTTATTCGATCAGGTGTTTGAAAAGTGTTTACTATTGCTTGTATGTTACTTTTCAGAGTTTCCAAAGATTAATATATTGTGCAATAGCAAACAATGTATACCTTGTATACTTCGTTAATGATTGTTCGAAAAGTGTTAAGCTGTTTTTGATAGTGCAAGTTGGAAAAACGAAAATTAGAAAAATCAACGGTTTAATAACTACTGTCATCGTGTATGTTTGTGGTGTTCATTTCAATAGTGAAAATCGTGAATTAGGTCGATCTTCGTAGATATGGGTTTGACATGCAGCACATCATAGAAATCTTGTAAATGGGAGCAGATACCTACTATATATTACAATAAAGTTAAAGAGTGCAGTACTCAAATGACGTGTTGGTAAAAGTGTATTTAGTGAGATTTTAATTGCTATATGTAACAGGCTTGTTTAATTTCACGATTTCCGGATATTCTCAAAAAGTAGTCATACGTTTATCTACTTGCAATTAGTATGATTTTTATTTCGGCATTGCTTGCCACCTCTCTATTTTTCAACTAGTCTGACTGTCGACCTGTATGTAAATTTCCTTGTAGTCTATTATATGGCCATACGTTTCTGAAAAATATAAAGTTGGGGTCACTACGGCGTTAAAATCAGTAGTTAAAAACACTGTTACATATCGTATAACTTTAAAAACTATATGAATGATCTTCTCAGAAACATCACTTAAAATAGTTATTTCATGCAAACATTAATTAATGGAAAAAAATAGTCTTTTTAAATACGTATATTACATCGACATGTATGTATAAAGACATCAACGCAAAAGACGTTCAATGGACTCAATACTTTATAGGGCAGCCGCTATATATTACAGGTATAACACGGTATTTACGTTCCAAAAAATTGTCGTGTTATGCGAATCCGTGTTAGGCGAAACAAAGAACTAGTACGAAAAGGAGGGTTAGGTTCCAAAAATTAAAATGCATGCTACTATATTTTTATAATTAAGATAAGAACATTTTATTTAAGTGATACATATTAATATAAATTAAAACAATGTTATCTTTGTCATTACTAAAAGCACTATTAACCAAAAGCGTTTTATTTTTGACAAGTTATCGTTATCCTTTGAGCATTTTTCTGCATTATTTTCAGATTCATGCTTTACTTTTTGCAAAAAGTGTATGTAATTTTAGATTGCTTGCTTCTAGTTAAAAGATCTTTATAAATTTTCCTATATGGTGCTAAGCACTTATGGAATAAGGGAAAAACATCTGGCAACACCAGAAGCAGAAGCGTCAAGATCTGGAAAAATTGAAACAATTTTCGCGAAGGATCATGTGTATGGAGACGAGAAAAGAAAATTTACACACTGAAGTTACAGTTCAGTACTAAAGTACTAATAGTACTTAAGTATGTAAAAATTTATTACATTTCACGTTGTACGAGGGTTTTACCCATTTCTCGAACCCTGTCAGAGTGAATCCGTGCTATAGAAGTGCCGTGTTATACGGGGGTTACCTGTACAATGAAAAGGGAATGCTTCTTCGATAATTTAATCATTGTTGTAACAGTTATCACTGTAATAATTTCCCGTTGTTGAAGAACTGCTACTTAATAATTAGGCTCACGTATATAATGCCGACCATATTTGTTTGTAACATGTGCAAAAATATCTAATTATTTTTCTTCAAAATAAAGATAAAGTATTATAATTTACTGAAGCAAAAGAACGAATGCATTGTCTTTAAATCACTCACGGTTATTTCATTATGAATAGAGGGCAGAATTGTGTTGCTAAAAAATTTAGTTTTTCCTGTGAATGATTGCAACACTTAGCAGTATGATTACTTAACACTTTGCTGCTGAGTTCCAATTGTACATTGACACTTAGTGAAGAGTAGCAATGACTTTAGGCTTACAGAAGCATAACAATAAATTTGCTAAGATGCCTTTTAAACATGAACTAAACTGGTGGAAATTTAAAGTGTTACACCCAGATGGAATTAGTGGAAATTCACGAAACTTGGTAAACATGTACAGGGGCATGCCCAGAAAAAATGAATTAAGGAAAGTTATATTGCTGTTTGGTACATGTTTCAGTAAGTGGTATGCCCACCTTGAGCATGGATACAGACTTGGATCCTTGCAGGCATTGAATCAATAAGTGCTTCAATAAGTGTTGGGTGTCTCTCCTTGCCTGCACAACTTGTGCGGTCAGTTGTTGTACAATGCGCGCTAGATTGCTATGAGATATAATTTGTCTAACCATGGCATTCCAGACATGCTCTATAGGAGATAAATCTGGAGATCGAGCGGGCCAGTCCATGATTGCGACACTTTGCAAGGCTTGTCTTGTAATGGTGGCAGCATGAGGATGGGCATTAACTTGTTGGAAGATACCATTTTGGATGGTGTTCATGAAGGGTATGACTACTGGATGGATCACCCTGTCCACATACTGGTGGGGGGTCATTGTGCCTTCAACAACCATTATCTCGGCCCTGCTCTCGTAACTGATTGCCTTCCAAACCATGACACCAGGAGTTGGACCTGAGTAACACTCTGAAATTACAGCAGGGTGGGCTCTTTTTCCAGCACGCCGGCAGACATGATGCTGACTATCACATTCGCCTAAAGAGGATTTGAATTTATCACTAAACACAATTGTACACCATTAATGTGTCCAATTATATCTAGCAGCACACCACGTTAGCTGTTGTTGGCGATCAAATCTGGTTAAGGGAACACATTGCTTGGGGGTCTGAGATGTCAGGCCAGCATGGATCTAACCTGTGGACCAAAAAGTCCACAGTTCACAACTTACAAACTAAACACTATAGTAGTTTTGCATAACAAATGTCTCCATAATTTCCATTCCACTGCATGTACTTCATTTAATTTTTGATCTTTCAATATACTTCAGATATAGATTCCTTTGCCCAAATTTCATATCTTCGACTATACTGAGTGGGTGTAACACTTTCAATTTCTGCCAGTGTATTTTTCCTATCTGATATAATGCTACTAATAATAGACTAAATGACATCAATCCAGGTTGAACTTTTTTCTTTATTTGAGAATACAATTATTGTCTGTTTATTGTCAAAATCAACATATTCTGGTACAAATGTTCTTAAGGCATCGCGTTTTTTGTTATTACTAGCTGCAAGGACCCGCTTCGCTGGGTTTTTATTTGTATGTAATATAGTTTTTTTTATATATATAAAAGACTGTTTTTCTAAGAAATCTAGAATCTAGCTGCTAGTTCCTGCTTCGCTGGGTTTTTAAAAAGTAATGATAGTGAAGATTAAGATAATTACATTATATCCAATCTTACCCGTTTTCACAGAATGCAAGAACTAGGTCCCCCTTTTCCAGACTAATTAGAGACCTGGTCCCGATTCTATTTCTGAACATCTCATGTCTCAACGTTTTTGGAACGTTTACAATCGTTCTATAATCGAACCAATATTCGAATTTAATTCGAATATTGGTTCGATAAATTCGAATATTGGTTCGATTTGTTTGAATTTGTTCGAAAAAATTCAAACAAAACATTCGAAATAGAAAGCCACTTTCAACCACTTTCAGTCCCATATCTCCCGCACCCATATAGCTATCGAGACGAAACCTCCCTGGTGCACGAATGGAGACTTGGGGATACTACCACATACAAACACCATTCACGTGCGATGTGTAGTTTTCGCGGAAAAGTGAAATATAGGGATATACATGTCCATTTATATATATATAGATATAGATAATCAAAATTAAAATAAAAATCTCTTTTTTATAGAAGCCGTTCACTGAGTGTTCGCTGTAACATTTTATAAGACGCTACGGTTTAGTGTGAGCTGCATTAAAAAAAATTCTTTTGTCCTGTTTGTGTTGACTAGTTATAGGTTGTTGGAGTTTCCAAATAGAGATTAAAATATGAGATTAAAATAGTTGGAGAATGTCGGCAGTGGGTTTTAATTTTCCTACCCTGAATTTCCATACATGCTGATGTGGTTTAGTAATGTATTTTTTCATTTACCCCATGCTGGTTTTCGCTATTATAATTAGAATTGTTTGTGATACATTTTAATATGGGGAAACCGTTTTATTTGTTTTATTTATTATTTATTTTTATTTGTTTTATATGAAGAACCGATTCCTGTTTACAAAAAATAATTCGAAAAAAATTCAAATCTTGTACGGTGTTGACGATAGCCCACAGATTACATACAATTATCGATTCGGATAGAGTACTGGTAAGATTCTTCTTTTTAATAATATAAAAATAAATACCAGCTATTAATTAGACATTTTAAATTTCTAGGTATTAGATACAGGTAAAGTACAAGACTTTGATTCGCCGTATGCATTACTGAAGAACGTAAATGGTATATTTCATAATTTGGTAAAGAAGACGGGAGTAGCTTCAATGAATGAATTATACGAAATTGCCAAAACTAAATATTACGCTAAACAGAGGGTCGAGCAAACAAAACTATAAAACAATGAATATTATTATATGTATACACTATGTAGATCTGGTGTTATGAATTTTTTATTTAATTTAGATCTTAGAGTGGTATTTCCATACATCACATAACACATTAAATTGTAAAAATCTGAACATTTGTTAGTATATGCAAATTCCACAGTTCAATTTATACATGCTGATCTTTTATTGAGATGCAATCAGCAGTTTTTGAGATAATATAATGAGTAATGTTTACAATGGTTTAACTTCAGAGTTTTACTGTATTAAAAAACAGAATATAGATTTAATTTATATAATTAAAACAAATTTTGTTTACTACTTTAATCAGAACAATCTTAGTCAAGAATATAATTTTAATTGTAAGTATGTGTGCTTGTAAAAATTTGGTTTATGGCAATAATTAAAAAAAATTATATGATTCAAAATGTTTTTGCATTTGTATTATCTCTTTTCGTGTGTCTAATATTCAATCGATGTGTTATTGAAAACTGGTATATAATTTATTGTAATCTGTTGTGTTTAAGAGGAGAAACAGAAAATTTTCAGAACTGCGATAAAGTTAGTTATAGTGATTCGATGCACTGTGCGTATAGTTTATTTTATAAGCTTACGTAACTAATTTTACATTATATAAGGGCACACATTTATTATTATTCTGTAATTTATTAATTTTTCTATCATATCAATATATCATCAAGAGTGTTATACCCCGTTCGCACACAATCTACGACCCACTTCGATCACGATTTACCCACAATCTGGATTGTGACTGTCGCCAGTGGAACGTCGTGCTGTTCGCACAGGTAACTCGCTTGAGAAGAACACGCGATGATAAAATTGACATAACTATGCGGTAAATCACGAACACCAACAAACAAAATGGAAGTTTTGGTTGAAAATAAATACTTTTTCTTGCCGTATATCTAATAATAGACAGATGTCATCGTCTCTCCAGATGTCTTTTTTATTTTTCTGTCTACAGCCGGACACGTGTTCAGCAGCCATCTTGTATTTTCTTGCGCGCGTGGGATTGTGGGATTTCTCTTATGACTGGATCTAGTTTCAAGAACTCTCTCCAGTTGATCGCGATAGAACCTCGTTTCAGTCGAGATTGAAACAGTCGAGAGCGTTCGCACCAAGGAACTCTCTCCGACCTTAGTCACAATTTAGATCGAAATGCTAGGTGCGAACGGGGTATTACAAATGTCATAAAGTATCTTGACTAATAAACTATGTAAATAATCTGAAACATATTTCTAATTTAGCTTTTGATATTTTAAGACCTAACAAGAAAGATAGTTTAGGAAATCATGAATAAAATCTTCGTTTAGTACAGGGGTGTTCAACCCGCGGCTTGCGGGCCGCATGCGGCCCAAGGCAAGTTTCAATGCGGCCCAATAAACGTGTAGACAAAACCGACAAATGTTTTAATTTTTTTTATTATTTATTTATTTCAACGGTATAAACTCAAAAAACAAATTTCACAAAGTCGTAAACCTTTATTCATATTTTAGTTTTGAGTGGAAATGAAATATTTTCATGTACTTGGAGTTGTGTGAATGAGGAGGGATTACTAAATAAAGCTGGAGTTGTGACTCAAAGCATTATAGACCCAAATTTGGGAAAGGCGGGAAAGGTGAGAAAGGACAAAAGATGTAGTAGTGAGAAAGGTTAAATAGATCTTCTGTTAAGCAAATATGAACCCTTAATTTTCCAACCTTTCTCACTTTTTCATCTTTTGTCTTTTCACTCCTTTCCCCGCATTTGTTCTATAATCCTTTTAGTCACAACTCCAGCTTTATTTAATATTTTTTCCAACGTTGCAAGATTTGGCTACATTTGCGCCAAATGTGGCTACTTTTTTTGGTTTGAGGTAAAAAATATCATTTGGCGCTTTGGCTGCTTTTTGGGCTACATATTATTTATAAATATATTAGTTGAATAGAAATGCACTTTAAAATGGTGTTTCGTCTATTATTAATTAGGGAACCAAATAAAACAAATATTTGTGTTGTTCAAATAAATTTTTGTTTGTCTTCTTTATAATAAATGAATATATTTTTACATAAAAATTGAAAGTATCTGTAGAAGTAATTTTTTAAAATATCCTTTTTCATGATAAAGTTTTAATACTTATTACTATAATCTAGACATGTTAATCACAATAGCCACAAGTATATATAATATACTTGTGG